TTGGCAAGGTAACAAATGACTTCACTAATCGGACGGGTTTGGTAGGATACAGTCAGACAATAACGGTGCGCTTGAATGCCAATATTTTTCATGAAAAATGTGTTTTTTCAATCCAAATTCCTACTTTAGTAATGTTTGATCGACATTTTTTTCCATAAAAAACATTTTCGTACTTTTGGTCACGTGAGCTTATTTTTCTCAAAATCAAGGAAAATATTTTATTTAGGGGAAAATATTCACTCTCTCTTTCTCTCTCTTATCTATCTCATCTCTCGTCTACCCACCAATAAAAAATGGATAAGTATAATATTTTCTAAATTGAAAATTAAATCGATCAAACAAATTTAATTAATAATTTCAATACAAATTAGTTTTAGACAATTGAATTGCCTATAATTTATTTTATTTCAANTTTCTAAATTGAAAATTAAATCAATCAAATACATTTAATTAATAATTTGCAATTGAATTGTTTAAAATTTATTTTCTTTCCTTATAAATTTCATACTCGCAATCAAACGCATCCTAAGATTTTAACTTTTGAAAGCAGTTTGTATCAAAATAAGAATTCTTTACTAATAAAAAAGAAAAAATAATAACAACTTATTATAATATATTTGAAAGCAATTTTTTTCTTAGCCCCTGTTTGGCAATCATTATTTGGAGAAAATAAAGTTTTGATTTTTAAAAGATGTGTGATTAAAAAGTAGGAAAAAAATTGAATTTATATGCAGAATATTTTATTGTGTGACTGTGTAGTTGAAAATGAGTATGTACTACGTAGAAAAAAAATTTGAAAATAATGTTCGTCTTTTTTAATTATTAAACATGTCAGGGATGTACACATACACAATAATACATAAACATTATTGTGTTTAATTAGTTTTATATTAATTTGATGGGGCAAGTGTAGGTGAGACATATTTCGAGAGAACAAGTAGTGGCTCTGCAAGCTCCACTCGACATGGGATGCAAGAAAAATTCAAGACCCGTACAGCCAATTAATGGACGATACGTGGAGTTGTTCAAGGAATTGCATTGAGGAACACAACATGATACCTATGTTGTCAATGTAGGAAAATATAGGTTATGGGTGCGCAGTTGAACTGTCACCAGATCTATTTCATGTATACTACAATAACCGTGTCTTTGCTGGTGATGTTCCTCGCATGAGATGTCTGCTAGGATTAGTAAATATTCCAAGCAAGTAGATACGGAAGCACGAATTCTATACATAAAGGTTGTCGAAGGATAGACGAATTTTTTAAATAAATTTGGAGTTCTCTTATAGCTAATTTTACATAAAAACTACTAAAATATTTTAGACCTAATTGAGACTGACATAAACAATATGAATTTTTTTTTTTTTTTTTATAACCGTGGATGTCCGGACCAACTTGCGCGCACCTCGACTAATCTCATGAAGCCCTGAAGTTTACGGTCGGATACTCACCTCAGTGACCTTGAGGGGACATAAACAATATAAATTTTAAAACTACGTAAGTAACCAAGAGGATCCTCCAACAAAAGGAAAGGAACCGATTACAAATTTAGTTGAACTTTATGAATATGCAAGTCACAT